GAACCTGGGCTATTTAAACTACATAATCGAAATATTTGTCAGTATCAAAAAGAGAATTAATTTTGTCTTTCAAACAGGAAAATGTTGAGGTGTTGAGAGAGAGAACTGTGGCCTATATAAACCTTGATGGAGCTGTCGAAGGGAATTACACCTTTTCAGCTACAGGAAGCCCTCTGTTGAGTAAGATCATACACTATGCAACCAAAAGGGTAAGTATTCCATTCACTTATTCTGTCAATTAGATGAAAATGTAAATATCTGTGGTTGAAATATATTCTCATACTCAGTCTTAAAGCCACACTGTCCTACTTGTAGCTACTTGCTCCCTCTATATCGAAAACAATGTCTAATCGGTGACCATTGGTCCCCCATGATCCTCTTTTTCTTATGTTAATTGCGAGCTGAGTTGATGAGATAACCACCTGTCCAGTGACCTTGCAGTGTGGTCTAATCCCTCCTGAAAACTACTACAGATGAGCTTTAAACATTATACTCATGAGATTGGTATACTTGTAGAAAGGGAAAAGGAAATGTTTAACCAAACTGCTCAAACTGACAAATGAATGGGTACTGATCAAGTGCTATGTGAAAAGTTTGGTAGTTTCAGATATATACCACCCCCCCCCCCCCCCTTTGCCCTAACAAAAAGTAAGAAGAACTACGGTCACTTCTTTGTAGGTTGGCTTTAAATTGGACTTAGCTATGGCAGGCCGTTCATGCCACTGCCTGCTGTCACCAGTGGTCTCTCAATTATGATGTTTAGATAATATTTTTTCCTTCAATAATGGACTATCAAAAAATGTAAATCTGTAGATTTGTGACCACGATTGGTACGTCCCTTGAGAAACCAATGCCAGAAAATGATGAAAGAAAATAGTGGCATGAACAGCCTGCCATAGTTAAGTCCAATTTAAAGTTGATTTTAGTCTTTCTGAAACACTCCCCTGGTCATCCATGAAATCAGGGCAGTGCTTCATAATAATTACGCTTCATAAGTAAAAATGCACTTACATCCCATTGAAACGTTTGTTATAAAAATTAACATGCATTCCAAAGGGATGTTGGTGAACTTGTATTTATGTCGGTTTTGTGAGATAATACCCAGAAATTTGTTTGCAAAACTTTTTAATTTGTCTCTTTTGATCATATTTCTTGTAGGTTAATTGCCCTGATGCTTCTCATTCAAAGATGAAAATCTATGATAACTGGGCGATGAAAAAGCCCAGCCAACTAGGAGCAGAGTAAGTCGTTCATTATTATTATTATTATTAATTTCATTATTATTTATTCGGCAAAAGCAAAGAAAATCATTGAATACAAAACAAGAGTACATTTGGAAAAGAGTCACATGGATGCCAGGAAAGGGAAAAAGATTAACTAAATAACTGTAACCCAAAGGCCTTCATTATGGTCAAGTTGACTGAATTCCATTATTTCTTATTCAGTTTAGTTTTTTCAATGTTAGTTTGAAACAATTTAGTTTTTAAGGCAATTTTAAATCAAGACTGAATCTCATTTGTTCATATAGTATGTCTCACTTGGAGCGCAGTAGAACATATCCACATAGTTATTGCGCATTACAAATGGATATATTATTATTATTATTATTACTTTATCCTACTTGCGGGCCAAATGTATGGAATAACACGAATGTAATATTTCAGACGAAAATACTATTATATAAACTCTATTCTTGAATATGAACTGGTATCAATACTTGACTGATAAATTCCAAACTTGTGAGGTGCGCAATGTAGCACTTGTGAAATTAAACGCTAATCCACGTTATGAGCTATTGTCAAGGGATATTATTGTAAAAATCTGCATTAGGCCTGGTTTTGGTTCCTAAAACATAAACAATGCATGTCTTTGACCAAGTTTCATATACAATGCGACTTTGTTTGATTTCGTGCATATTTGGTTGTCCATATTACAAGAAAGTTTTTAATACTTATAGCTACTTGTGCCCTCAATAAAGCAAACAATGCCTAATCGGTGACCATTGGTTCCCCATGATCCCCTTTTTCTAACGTTAATTGAGAGCTGATTTGATGAGATGAACACCTGTCAATGACTTTGCACGGAGGTCTAATCCCCCCTGGCCAAACTAGTACAGACGGGCTTTAAGTGTCTTTAGGGTTTAAATATTCAATGTTTTCTCTGATAGGATTGAACCTCTTGGAATGGGTAATGATGCTGCACCTTTCCTACATGTTGCTGGAGTGCCTGTCTTGGATCTCAAATACACATATGATAAGGTACAGTACCGGTATATCAGAAATTGTACAATATTTGTAGAGGTTGTACGTATTTATGATGAAATTAAAGGTAATACAAAGTTTTGGGAAATTTTGAAAATTTAGTGGATAGTGATTCTTTACAATTTTGATATATTTGGATGCCCCTGCGGATGTATTATAAGCACTAGAAAATTTAGCCCCTAAACTACTTCTGCTTTCGCGAAAAATTGAATATAAAATTTACCGGTGCTCCCGGTAAATTTTGATAAATTTCAAATAGCGCCTACGGCCGTACAATGGTAGCTGCGACCATGAAAATCTCAGAATATGTAGTTGTTATATATAATTTCCGAACAGGAACAACCAATCAGTAGATTTTAGTCAAGAAACGTTGTTGTATAGCTTAGTAAATATCTTGACCTTGAGAGGGAGCTATCGACATAAAGAGTTTATTGTTTACAATTTCATAACATTAGACTCGATTTCAACCGCGACAACGATCACTGAATATTGTTGGACCGCATATGCGTCCAATATGTTCATTTGAACCAAATTCATGACCCCATACAAAAACTTTGTATTACCTTTAAGAACAATATTCTGTTTTTGTACAACCACATCACACTATGATATCATTCTCTGTGCACCTCCAAAGTGATTTAGAAATTGTTAGCCCAGCTTTACCTCTGGCAGCCGTTATCAGTGCACAGTGTCCTGAAAGGAATAACGTTTACCAGGTAGTCATTTGCTACACCCGTGTCAAGAGTGGCAATGTAGATCATTTAAAGTCTTGCTGAAGGACTGAGTGTCATGTCTGGGCTCAAATCCAGACCTTTGCATCCATGATCGAGTGTTCAACTTCCAACTGTAGATGATTTCTTACTGAATCAAAAAATAAATTGTGTCCATTTCCTATGGTTTGGAGTTTGGAAAGATATTTAAAGTCTTTACAGAACCACATTATTAAAGCCCATCTGCACTGCTTGTAAGTACTTGCGCCCTCTATATAGCAAACAATGCCTAATCTGTGACCACTGGTCCCCCATGATCCTCTTTTTCTTATGTTATTTGAGAGCGGAGTTGATGAGATAACTACCTGTCCAATGACCTTGCAGGGTGGTCTAATCCCTCCTGTACACTAGTACAGATGGGCTTTAAAAAACAATTCAATGTATAAACAGGACAATTAGTATGGCAATTCAATGACATTACCTTCAAAATTGAATTTCTCACTGTGTCTCACCAGGAGTATTACGGAGGCATTCCCACGTACCCTGTGAAGCACACGGCCTATGACACGTACGACTATGTGAAGCGCTTCATCGATCCTGACATGTCGATACACGTTGCTGTGACTGAAGTGGTTGCTGAGGCGCTTCTCTCGCTAGCAGATGATCCTCTGCTGCAGATTAACGTGGTGGATTATGCGACCAAGCTGGTAGAATACCTCAGAGAACTCAAGAAGGCCAACTTTACTGTCCCCCTCGATGAAGGACTAGGTAAGTCAGTCCAGTTTGATTCTGTTCTGTGCAGTTCACTCCAGTTCTTTACTGTCCCCCTCTATGAAGGACTAGGTAAGTCGATCCAGTTCAATCCAGTTTGATTTGGTTCTGTGCAGTTCAGTCCAGTTTTTTACTGTCCCCCTCAATGAAGGACTAGGTAAGTCAGTCCAGTTTAATCCAGTTTGATTCAGTTCTGTGCAGTTCACTCCAGTTCTTTACTGTCCCCCCCTTGATGAAGGAATAGGTAAGTCAGTCCAGTTCAATCCAGTTTGATTCGGTTCTGTGCAGTTCAGTCCAGTTCTTTACTGTCCCCCTCGATGAAGGACTAGGTAAGTCAGTCCGGTTCAATCCAGTTTGATTCGGTTCAGTGCAGTTCAATCCAGCTTAATCCACTTCAGTTTAAGTCAGTGTAGTTGTTTCACTTCTAAGTAGATCAAGTCTTTTTTAATTAAAGTCAGGTGTCAGAACTCAACAAGGCCAACTTTAATGTCCCCCTCGATGAAGGACTAGGTAAGTCAGTCCAGTTCGATTTGGTTCGGTGCTGTTCAATCCAGCTCAATCCACTTCAGTTTAGGTCAGTGTAGATTTTTCACTTCTAAGTAGATCAAGTCTTGTTTAAGTTAAGTCAGAAGTCTCTGCATAGGTTATTTGAACGTATATGTGATTTGTATTCGCTTAGCAATTGTTTCTGATGTGTTATTTTAATTGTTATAATTATTATTAATTTCTATAATTATCATATGTTCAGGTACTTTCAGTTTTACAAGCCTTGTGCTTTTTTTAAAGTGTCTTTTCAGCTGTTGTTTTAGGAAATTATGTAGCAGGAATTAATTCTTTGAAATGCTAGAGCGCCGTAATGGCAGCACAGCTAAAACCGGGCTAATAATCTCCAAGTTTGGCTCTTAGTGATTGTAATAAGCGCTATATAAAAACTGAGTATTATTATTATTACTGTCTCCTCTACTTAAACGCAGGTCATTTGAATGATGCTATACAGAGGTTTGTTAAAGCTGCCCAGGACTTCCAAAAAGATTACTACATTCCTCCTGCACAAGAGTAAGTTACTACCCCATGGTGTTGAAGGTGTAACACACTACACTACCCCATGGTGTTGAAGGTGTAACACACTCCACTACCCCATGGTGTTGAAGGTGTAACACACTCCGCTACCCCATGGTGTTGAAGGTGTAACACACTACACTACCCCATGGTGTTGAAGGTGTAACACACTACACTACCCCATGGTTTTGAAGGTGTAACACACTACACTACCCCATGGTGTTGAAGGTGTAACACACTACACTACCCCATGGTGTTGAAGGTGTAACACACTACACTACCTTATGGTGTTGAAGGTGTAACACACTACACTACCCCATTTTGTTGAAGGTGTAACACACTTCTGTCGCAGAAGTTCAAAAAATTACACTGAAATTGCAGAAATTTGTTATTTTGCACATTACTTCCCCCTCAATCATTTAACAATAAAATAAGGACATTTTAGATTGTAAAACATCCATATTTGTAGGATTATTCAGGTTGTGCCTTAGGAATTAAAATTCCTTTTAATGGTATTTCAAGGAGGATTATTGAACAAACAGACAGCAGACAAGATGACTTCCTGACTAAAGCCATAGGGTAACAGAAGACAGGAAGGTGTGGCAAGCTGTTGTTCAATACTTAAGTCAAGTCAAGTATTGAACAAACTTTAAAATATTTACAATAATTTCAAAATGACAGATTAAAAAATATAGAAATGAAAACTACTTGATTCTGCTCATATATTTCACTTCTTTTAACTATTGTGATCTGTGGACAAAATGCCTAAAGTTTTATTTTTGAGACTGTCTCTTTCTCAGCAGAATTCGAAACAGTCATATGTACAAATTTTTATAGTAAATGAACACCAAATGGTTGCTTTTGTTGAAAGAAAGCTTTTGAAACCTTAAGATCATTTTCTTGCTGACATATTAATAAGAAGAGAGATTTAGTTAATCCTCATTATGTGAGATCCCCCCCCCCCCAACACACACAAACAAAATTCAGGTCAGTTTATGTAAAGAGACACAACATTTCTTTTAGAGAAAAACAAGTTTTAGTTGTCTGATGTAACTTAAAGGTATAGACCAGTTTTGGAAACGTCCCCCTCTCAAAAAATGTAATGTATTACCAATCATGTGAAGGAATATGTTTTGACTAATACGTGATGATACAAATTTTTGGTCTTTACCTTTAAAAACCTTTAAGGAGCTACCAGAAATACATATTTCACACAATTCATGATCTTCACCAACTCTGAGGTAACCTCCTTCTGTTTGTTTTTTCCTTGATCTGTTCAGTCAAACCCTTTTGCGTGAGGTGAATGACAGAGTAATGTCTGTAGAGAGAGCGTTCGCAGGGGATCCTGGGAACTACTATCTACCGCAGCTCAGGTAAGATCAAGAGAGGATTCAAGTTGAAGTTGAATTTTAGTAAAGAATAATCTGTGAGTTTTCTTGTTCCCTCGATTCTTGTGTGAAAGGAAAAATATTATCTAAAGATCATAATGGTGAGAGCAACCAGTGGCATGAATGGCCTGCCATAGTTAAATCAAGCTTAAATTTGATCTTAGTCTTTAAGAAACACTCCCCAGTTCTTTATAAGAAAATCTTGGTGTGGAACCCAGCTTACAGTTCTAATATTTCAAGGAATGGATAAAGTGAAAAGATGGCAAAAGCAACAACAACAAAAACTGCATTTGGGGAAACATTCTTCTTCTTATCCACGAGTGTGTTGTAGTTAGAATGTGAATCTCATTGTAAGACGAGAAATAACCACTATGCGATTTTGACAGTCGCATTATTGATATTATCATTTTACCCTCTGTATTCCAATTTCTCAGACATGTGGTATATGGCCCTTCAAGGTCGGGCTATGAAGGTCAAGGTTTTGGTCCTTTGACCAGAGCACTGTACATGGCTAAATGGACCAATAGCTGGGACCTGGTCCAACCCGCCCTCTCTGGAACTATAGCACGAATTGAAGCTGCGGTTCATCTCTTGACCGGAAGCCCATTAGGAACCGTCACACTACCCTAAATCAAAATGATGGTGTCGGTAATATATCTTCACTTTTTCCTCTCTGGAACTATTGCACGGATTGAAGCTGCGGTTTATCTCTTGACCGGAAGCTCATTAGGAGCCATCACGCTCCCCTAGATCAAAATGATGGTGTCGGTAATATATCTTCACTTTTTCCTCTCTGGAACTATCCACGGATTGAAGCTGCGGTTTATCTCTTGACCGGAAGCTCATTAGGAGCCATCACGCTCCCCTAGATCAAAATGATGGTGTCAGTAATATATCTTCACTTTTTCTTCTTTGGAACTATCGCACGGATTGAAGCTGCGGTTCATCTCTTTAACTGGAAGCCGTTTGGCTCTCTTACTTACCTACGTGTAGATCAAAATGATTGTGTCGGTAATATATCTTCACTTTTGCTCAGTCACATTCGGCGAAACTATCATGATTAGCTACTCTGTCTGGTACTATGGCAAGGATAGAGGCTGCGATTTAGCTCTTAACTGGAAGCCATTTGGCTCTCTCACTTACCTACATGTAGATCACAAATGGAGAGGAGTCGGTAATATAAATATACTTTTGCTCAGTCACATTCAACAAAACTATCATGATTAACTACAATGTATGGGTACAGTACTATAGCATTGATAGAGGCTGCAATTCATATCTTGATCAGAGCCTTTTAGCTCCAGATATCTCGCTCACCGATATCAATGATACAGAGTTGGTCATTTTAATGTAAGTGTACTTCTGCCCGGTCACATTAAAAAAAACTATCATGATTGAACCTTGTCGGGTACTGTAGCAAGGATAGAGGCTGCGGTGAACAGAGTTGACTTCGGCAGAATATTAATATTCTAAAATGCACAAATAGGGAGGTCGCCATGTGTAAAATATTGGTGAATATTTGGGGGTCATTTGTACCAAAGCTGACTACCAACTGGTCTATTACATGTAAAAGAGCAATTCATTCTTCTTACTGTACTTTTAAAATGGTTCCTCAGATTGTTTTTTTGTTGTTGACATTTTTTGTTTGTTTATTTGTTATGTGGTGTAATAAATTGGTTTCATTTAGTAGCCCCAAGTTGTACAGTACCTTCTTACAGAGGATATCTTTCATAGCAATGAAATAATTTTAATTTTAATAAGAAAAATTATTTATTATTATTATTATTATAATAATAATAATAATAAATAATTTTTCTTTTTTATCGCTTTTTTAAAGTAATACGCGTATAACAATTATTTCAATGTAGTTTATTACATTTGTGATTTTTATGTACAATGTTTTCAAGCAGTATAACTTTGTCCTGAGTGCCACAGGAAAACATACTTTCTCTCTTATTGCCTTACCTTTTGTATCATTAACTTATAAGTATTCAAGTGCAGAATTGATGTTCTGATGTGCATTTTGTTGAATTTTTATGGGCCAAATAGATCAAACATTATAGTGCACCATTAAAAACTTGCAAAGAATGAAGGATTGTGAATGATAAAATGGGCGTCAACACTTTTATAGTATATTTATAGTATTGTTTGTTGATCAGTACTTAATTTGGGATGCTTCTTCATATGCACATGCGTAACCTAACCAGGGAATCTATGGCTATTAATCCCATCTGAGGAACTATGTGTATTTTATAAAACTATTGACTGCTTTGACAGGCAATAGTTTTAAAACTATTGCCCTGAAGTGATCTCAAAACTGCGTCTCAAGTTTTTAACAATTACTACTGTTACAAATAATTGTATTTCCATAGTCAGCATGCGAATTGCATACATTGTACATTGATTGTTGCTAGGTAGGACAAACAGTGTGGTATATTGGCAATATGTATATATTCACTGTCACTATGACATTCAAAATTCTTCCAAAAATATGATCATGTATCTTGTATGTAAATAATCTGAGACCATTGATTGGTTCAAGGGAATGTACTTAATGATGTTTTATATATTAGCAGGTCACATTTCTAGTTAAGATGGGAAAATGAAGAAATGAAGAAATGAAGAATTATTATTTGATTTTGAGACTTTAATGCTGATTTTTAGAAATCTTATATGTGTTGAAATCCATTCTGTATTTCAACACAAAGGGACTCTGTTTAGTATGTGCAGTGAAGTTTGAATGTTGTGATATATTTAGCATTCTATCTATGACCAAAAAAAGACCAAATGACAGTGAACCACAAAGAGGGTATATGTTTGGCTGATGTGCTTAATTTGAGATGTGACAGATGAGATAGATGTATTGTATTGCAGTTGTCTGAACCTTAGTTTCACACATTTCTTGAAAAATGCACAAAGGTTAAAGTGCTAAAGATTGAAATATTTTCCTTTTCTTACTTGGCAGATCAATTTCGATCAATTTCGATGGAGACAATACAGCCCAGATTCAATAAACTGTTTATGCAGGTTGTCAACTTAATACATACACGTAGACCATAGTACTTACTGATGACTAGGCTAGTAAGTTTTTATGAATATGAGCCAAGAGGGTGTTTCATAAAGCTGTGCGTAAAGTTACGCATGACTTCACGAATGACTTGAATATGAAGAGTTAAATGGGATTCTCAAATGCTTTTAATTGCATAAGTTTAAATGCAAAGTGTCTTTTTGGCCACAATTTAATTGAAATTACGGGAAATACAGTCACACTTTTTTTTTAAATGTCAGGAAAAACTTTTGGCATCCCATTTCATATTCAAATCATTTGTAACGTCATTCGTAACTTTACGCACAGCTTTATTTAACACCCCCAGGCATCTAATACATGTTCATGTTCATGTAGTCGCATGGGTCACGTGAGCAAGTCAATCTGTATTCTGTAGCACTTGGTGGTCTTCAATTTTACAGATGCCGCTTCCTTAAATGTAAGCAACTGTAAATGAATTATTGTATTCACTCTATTACATTTACTGTATTTGAGACCAAATGTAAGCTGTATGTATTAGCTGTTGCTGTGTCTGGCAGGCCTTGGGCAAGGTTTCGCATCATTAGTAACTGCAAGCTACTACAGAAGTAGTGTACATAGGAACTGAATAAAATGGGTACTGGTACATCATTCTAAGTGGGTGTGTGTGTGTGTGGCTGGGTGGGTGTTGGTGAGTGTGTGTATGCAGAGATGCCAACCAGTACGATTAAATCATATTTAGTACGATAATAAGAATGAACTACGATCTTAAAATCTTAAAATACGATTTTTCAGTTTTAAAGCAATAAAAACAGCGAAATCGCATAGAAACATGTTCAAATGAACCCCCACAACCCCAACAAAAACTATGCTTTACTATTTTCTCATTAAATTTTAATGAAAGAGCAAACATTTTCAGAAAATTTACTGGCCCTGGGCCAATGGGCCAGTGGTAGTGTCGAGTTTTCGTGAAAATCTGATTTTTCTCTCCAAAATCTGATTTTTTAAATTTTTTATAGGAAACTTAGTCTGTATTTTTGTGTCAAGAGGTTGGCATCTCTCTGTAGGTGGGTGAGTGTGAAGGTCGGTGGGAGGGTGGGTGAGTGGGTTTTAGTGTAGAGGAGTCGACCTGCTGGATACAATTTTAGTTTCCTTGACTTTGGTTTTTCCGATGGGTTTCTATCATTCATTCAGAGTTTTTTTTACCGTGGAATCCAGTGGGATTCATTTATTCATTTATGTATCTATTTCATACATACTGAACATACAATTTATGATGTGACTCAGTACAGTGTGTTTTTTATCAAACTTTGTGATAGATTAGTCTACTTTGCTGCAATTTTTACAGTCTTTCACTTTCCTCCATATTGTTCATCAAATCTACAAATTATATTCAATATCGCATTCATGCTGCACAGTGTGTAGAGTAGTTCAGTGTCTGCTGGATACCGGGGCCCTGTTTCATGGAACTTGTTCTCAATAACAAATGTTAAATTTCTATGACTAATTTGCTCTCAGCCAATCAGATGCTACGATTTGAGTAGCTTATAACAGGGATTGTAACTTGTTATTGATAACATGTTTTATGAAACAGGGCCCAGAAGGGTGTCAAAGCCTAATCGCACCAATGAGAACAAAGACGGACCAAAAACATGATGGAAACAAGTTGTTCTGGAGTAGGTTTTGAGTTGGTTTCGAGTCAGTTTTGAGTCATTTTGGAGTCACTTTGGAGTCATTTTTTGAGTCACTTTGGAGTCATTTTTTGAGTCACTTTGGAGTCAGTTTAGCCTAGTGACTAAGGTAATAAAGATACATGTCAATTTGAGTTCTGGTGATGTAATTCTATTGTGATTAAACTGTCTGTTAAAGAAGATGTCAATTATTGATCATAGTAAATACAAATAAGGTGTACTTCATGTACAAAATGGTTTTGAAAAACATCAAAATTATAAGAAATCTTGCTAAATCACGATGTAAACCACTGTGAAAATATCTGGTCAGAATTGGTAATTTCCAGTCTTACCAAATTTGTAAACTTTTATGGAAAAAATTGCATGTGGGTTAGGGGATGTTTTTCCTACGCATCCCCCTTCTCTTTTGTCAATGTTATCTTCACCATGAATAATGCCTTAATGACTGTGGACCCTCCTGGCTCTTAGCAGATAAATAAATGGTTTCTTTGAGACTTTTCTTTCTTCAATGCTGTGTGCTACTCAACTAAATTTTTATTAATAGATTTATCTATTCGATTGTATGATTAAATTGATTTATAAATGTACCATGCTACTCTCTGAATGTTGTGAAATACATTGTACAAGATGCAGAAGAAATGACTAATTTTAAATTTATATCAATTTTTAATATATGTATTTTTTAATTGAAAATAATTTGTTTTATTTTTTGCTTCTCACATTAGGTGAGGAAATGTAATTTAGATATATTTTCTTGTCTTGAATATTTGAGTATTTTTGCAGTCACTGCTTTATGGAACACTTGGTTAAAAATACATCTTTTTTGCAGTTTGTAGTTGATTCTTGTATGTATGTATGTAATTTTGATTTTTATTCACTGTAAATGTAAGCACTTTGGGCCTTATGGGAAAAGCGCGGTATAAGTAATAATAATAATAATAATAATATTAATAATATAGTGCTAACCAACAAGCACAATATCATGGGATAAATGTATACATGTAGATCTTTAAAGATGGTTTAGATAAAAACATATCAATGAAGAGCTAAAAAGTTGCATTATTAACTTTTGATTAATTTGTTGCTCATGTTATTTGAGCTACAAACCATTCCAAATTTCTCCAAAATTTAGGGTTAGCATTATCTTGCACCAATCCCCTTCATTTGTACTTTGGTCAAATCTATCAAAATGTGTATGAAATGTTTTGTATCTACTTTGAGGGCAGTCCGAATGGACAATGAGACTAAATAACTGTAAATATTCTGTTACTTTTTCAAAGAGGGTGGTTTGTAAATATCTCTGTACTCAGTATGTTCCAAGTACTAAA